AAAGACTTCTCTCCTGGTTTTACCCTAAATTCTAGCCCTAAATTGGCAGGCTTTGCACAGAGGATGACTTTAAGATATCTTGCAGAAAAACAGTTGCAGGCAGTCAGCATTTCCCTGTCTAGAAGATCCAGCTGCTCTGAAGATGTACAGCTGATGTTCTGTAGGAATTATTCTTTCTTCCAGTAGTGAATATTTAGACAAAACTGGTTCACTGGTTTGATCTGAAATTAAAGCAAAATCATATACATCTCTTAAAAATGGAGTTGGACACAGGTGAAAAAAAATAATCTTCTTGAATGCAAATGTCTTATTTTGATATAGTTCTTTGTAGAGAATTTTTATGGGAAATCTGATCCTGAAATGCATCCATTAGTGATAATTGATATTGCTTTAATTCATCCAATCCATAATATCAAGGGCTTTGTTAGTTTTTCTGTGAAATGTAACAAAAATAGTGGTCATTCAAAGTACTTCTGTCTCAATGTTTTTATAATGTCTGATTACAGTTTGCAATAGATACTGGTTTTGAAGGATGTTTAACAAATGTGTTTAAGTCCTCTTTAATTACCTGGGACCTTGTAGGCAGGGTGAGTGACTTGAAGTCTGGTGAGATTATTTGTGGTTTTAGTTGTAGTGCTATAAACTTAGAACAAATTTCTTGACTTTAGTGGAACCATTTTGGTGCACAGAAGATCAGAGGTTAGTTTGTTGTCTCAGCAGAAAAGTTTTTTGGAGTCTAATGTACATCCTATGTAGCTAGAATCAATGGCAGCAATGCTGACAATCCTTTGTAAGAATGGCTTTTGATTTAGCAGTACGCAATATCTTCCGATACGTTTACCATCTTTATTAGATTATTTATTTATATTTTCACATTCTTATCTGAAGCTTAATGTGTGTAACTGTGGTGTTACGTTAACAGACAGAGACAGAATGTCATGATAGACAAAATAAGAAAGACATTTCAGAAATGGAAGGGAAGTTAGCGACTGATGATATTATGGAATTTTTGGGTAGCCAAGCAGAGATCATTTTTTATTTAGTAGACTCTCTTTCAGACAAAGACAAGATTGTTAAGCTCAGTCATTCTACCACACTTATTCAGTAAATTGAATTTCTTGCCTTGTTTGCTACTCATTGAGTTAGTGAATCTCAACAAGTAAGACATGCCAGAAGGTTTTAAAAAAATCAGTGATGGACTCTTAAGAAGTAAGTTTTTACATGTGAGGTACATTACAAATAACAACAGCAACAATGGAAATTGATGATGTCTGTACACATTGAATATATTTTGTTTTATTACCTCATAGTCTTTGTGGCTTAGATAATGTATTAGCTACTTATTGCAGGAGATTTAGGTACAAAATAAGTTATGTAACAAGTAAAAATAAATGACATTTTAGCTTAGATGATTGATCACATTAAAGCCATACTTTGGGGTAATACAATGCCTGTTCAGTCTTCTTCATAGCTAGTGGATGGTTTAACAGTGCAAGCCAACACCTGAGTGTGAGGAGGAGCTGTTATTATCACACAGTCTGACATCCTCCTTAACTTTATAATTTCATCACTGACCTTGTACAGTTCTTTGAGTTTGGTAAATCTTTGTGAAAAATTTATATCCTTGATCTGAAGTCCTCAGGAAAGGGATGTGTCTTTATTTTCCCAGTGAGAAATGCTCTTCACTATTTGAATGTTGCCTTATTTCCTATCTGGATTTTGTATACTTTGGTTTTCAATTGCTCTACCTAATTAAATGACTTTGGCAAGACTAAGGAGCCTTATTTCGCAGGTTATTTCTCTATATGCATATTTTTAAATCAGAGTCAGTTCTCCTCTTAACCTTCTTTTCAATAAATTAATTAAGCTGACCACTTCCCTATTACTATTTAGTGGTGGCACGTGCATATATTAAATAATCTTTTTTTATCTTCTCACTCAGAGCACCATGCACATGAGCTCATGCTAAACTCATACCCTTCAAATGCATGCTAGACGCTGGCAGAGTATATAGTGATCCTCTGTTTATAGAGATTTTTGTAATCTACTCCCTAGTCGGTTGTTAAGTAGTTTGTTAAGCAATAAATAGATTTGTAGAATGCTAATGCTTAAGCTCAAACATCAGTCAGCATTAACATATCCTGGCAAAACTAGTGCTTTACTGACCTGTATTCATTTTATGCCTGACTATTCACTAGCACTGGCTTTGCAAGAGCTCCCTACCACCCTAAAATAACTTGCAAAAAAGTGAGCAAAATATTCTCTGCCTTGCAGACCACATTATTAAGTATTGATGAAGAACACTGTTGTTCTTGTGTGTAATGATGTAACATTTCAGCCGATCAAAAGTAAACCAAATCATCAGAAACCTCTGTAACGTTTTTCGGAGTCGCATTCTCTCATGTGTGCTGTTGGCCACTGAATGGAATTTTTGTCCAAATGCATCTTTTAAAATATTTCTGCATCTTTTACTTCTTAAATATTTCAGCCAGATTTCATTTGTTTATTGTGCTCTCCTTTAAACCATTTTTTTCTGTTCCCTTGGAAAGTACAAGAGGGATACAAGTTACCACCTTCTAATGAGTAGTGTTGTATTGATCGCATCTTTCTCGCCCAGTATCACAGGGTCTTTCTCTACCTTCTTTCCTTTGCCAGGGGGATATCAGAGCCTACAGTTTTATTTCCATTTCATCTCCATAGTCCTGAGAGTTGATGGTCATCTTCAAAGGGGCTTCTGTAGTCTGGTGGCCATTAAAAGAAAAATCCTGATGATTCCAAATTTGTCTTGGGTTGTAGGCATTTGGGAGAAGGAGTCTGCTTCTTTGATTCTGCTCCAGAAACTCCAGCTTTTTTACTCACCCAGGTTCATATACAACACCAGATAAACTCAAAGTTAATACATTTTATTACAGCAAAGCAAAAAGTTATGTTCTTAAATGCAAAGTTGTGAACAAGGTGCGAAAGACAAAACCTGCAAAACTCCAATTGCAGTTGCAAAACTGCACCTCCAGATTATTCTTAATGCTAAATCTCCTCTCTAAGGCTGCTGTTTGACTTTATGGAGTGATCCACAGCAAAGCTGGCTTGCAGTATTGCTGCCTGAGGGAATGGGAATGGATAGCGAGGAGAGGCAGCAATGCCTTTGGCCACCGTGGCTGCCTAGGACTGCGTAATGCCAAACCATATCTGGGCTAGTCGCCTGAGGGGATTGTAATCTTCTCTCTGCTTTGGCCCATTATTTTAGAATCATACAATCACGGACTGGTTTGGGTTGGAAGGGACCTCAGAGATCACCCAGTCCCAACCCCCCTGCCCCGGGCAGGGCCCCCTTCCCCCAGCCCAGGGGGCTCCCAGCCCCGTCCAACCTGGCCTTGAACCCTTCCAGGGAGGGGGCAGCCACAGCTGCTCTGGGCACCCTGGGCCAGCGCCTCACCCCCCGCACAGGGAACAATTTCTTCCTCATATCTAATCTAAATCTCCCTTCTGTCAGTTTAAAACCGTCCCCCCTCATCCTACCCCCACCCCCTGACCCAGAGTCCCCCCCCCCCTCTCCTCCCCCCCCTTTAAGCCCTGGGAGGCCGCTCAAAGGGCTCCCCGGAGCCTTCTCTTCTCCAGGCTGAACCCCCCCACCTCTCTCAGCCCGGCCCCCCAGGGGAGCTGCTCCAGCCCCCCCAGCATCTCCGTGGCCTCCTCTGGCCCCGCTCGAGCAGCTCCGTGTCCTTCTGCTGTTGGGGGCCCCCGAGCTGGCCCCAGCAGTGCAGGGGGGTCTCCCCAGAGCGGAGCAGAGGGGGAGAATCCCCTCCCTGGCCCTGCTGCCCCCCCTGCTCTGCCTGCAGCCCAGGGCACGGGTGGGTTCTGGGCTGTGTGTGCACGCTGCCGGGTCATGTTGAGCTTCTTGTCAACCGACACCCCCAAGTCCCTCTCCTTGGGGCTGCTCTCAATCCCTTCTCTGCCCAGCCTGTGTCTGTGCTTGGTTCGTAGGTAGAATCCATCTCATATTTTGGAAATTCGTATGTACATGAGCAACTTCATACAGCTGGTCTTCTGAAGGGATTACTTATATCTGCATTAAAGGCACTAATCCTTGTACCAAAATTACTCATTTATGGTATAATTTCAAGGAATTGCTGAGTATATATAACTAAGGTTTTGATTTCATAATGTTACATATAAAGAGTATTATATACTTTTGTAATCCATATTATTCACATGTAGGTTGCAAATAGAACTTAGTAGATATTACATATATACCTGTGTTTTCTGCTTCTCCCAAATGTAAAAAAAATTGTGAAAGGATTGCTGTTCCTAACCATTATTCACTCTACGACAGTACTAATGCAACCAGAGTTTCTACAAACCTTCTCCTTAGCACTTCTTTACTGGAGTCCCCTTTGGAGCTTAGATTTGAGAGCTCTGTAAGTCATTCCTTTGCTCCATAACTAGTGGTGATGATAGTAGGAATTGATAACTTCAGAGTTAATTCAGCAATACCTGCGTACTAGTCCTTTAGACAGATCATTGCTTTGTGAATAGAGAATAGCTAGTTACCTCCAAGGACATTTTGAAACTTTCTCCCATTAAGATGTACTCCGCCAGCACAAGAAAATTTTTCAGCACTTGGTAAAATCAACTTTTTTTTGTAACCATTTGCGATGTTCAAAACAAATATTTTAAAAGTACCTTGATTACAGTAACTGCAGCTTGATTATTTAAGGTTTTACATCTGTATTTGACTACTGTGTGATGTACGAAAATGTAAAATGCTCACATTTAATTTGCATGTCATTTAAAAGGAGATATCAGAGTTGAATCTCTTCAGGACTGTTTAACCAAAGAAAGACTTGGACTTGCTAAAAATACCTACTGATTATGCACGTAAGAGACTGTGCTAATCCAGGTGTATGGAACATCCTGAATTTAGGTTTGTTGAATTTATGCCTGCAGCCCAGTCAGGTGGGGAGGATGATTCTCATGGTGTGTTGTGTTTTCCCTCTCCCCAGGAATGCGACAAGGTAATGACTTAGGCACACAGTACCGCTCGGCCATCTACACATTTTCTCAGGAACAGATGGAAGCTGCCTTGAGGTCTAAGGAAGAATATCAAAAGGTAACATTGGGCAGGGCATGGAATTACTTCATGTATGTGCAGAGGTCAAAGATGTCACCAATTTGCACAAAATCACTTCTTGTCCTGTGCACTGTCTCCATGTTGCTATTTGAGCTCCTCATCCCAATACTGAACTTGCATCATATTTGATTTAAATTCCAACTTTTACGAAATGTTTTTTTTTTTCTTTTTTGTGTCTGTGAGTCATTTTATAACTATGCAGAAAGAAAAATAGTTACTTGTGCAGGGTTATTTTTAATCTCTTCTAGAGATTTTTTTATGTGGGTACACCAGAGCTGAAGTCTGTGATCTTAAAGCTATTCAAGCATATTTGGACCCCATACTCTGAAGGGTGTAACCAAAATCTCAGACCCAAGAGTTCTTAAATGCTGGGGGAAAGTCCTGATCGATATTTGAGCATGGTAACTCAGGATCACCCACCTGCTGCTTATAAAATGCTTCTATCAAGCCATTCCATAAATGTCTTTGATTAAATGTGGCAGCCTGTGACTTAGTAAGACTATTTGTTTTGACATTAGTATTTGTGTGAGGGAAGATCGAACATTCCCTTTCTATACACAGTCCTATTTCCAGTGAAGATGGATTCTGTCTCTTCCCCGCCACATAAGCTATTATTTAACTAAAGGCAGAGGGATTAGTGTCCTATAGTGTTGTTGCATTGTAATTGCTGTCTGATCTGCCTAGTGATCTGGTCAATGCAAGATCCAGATTCTACAGCAGAGATGTATACATTCTTTTAACTTATATGAAATAGACTATTAACCTAGGATATCAGGGTAATAGAGTAGCTATTAGGTAGTGCTAAGAGAATAACAGCTTTCGTGCATTCACTTATAACATGGCTTCACTAAAATGTTATGTTGAAAAACCAGGGCTTTTGGTGAATATCTAATGTTAAAGGTAAGGAACCATGTTTTGAAGAGTGAGGGTGTATCAGTCAGAGGCATGTACCACGGCCCAAAAAGGAGGTGCATGAGCTGAAGACCTCTGTGGCAGTTTGGTTTTCATAAATATGTCTGACATTGGTGGGCTAAGCTATGTGTGCGCTTGTAGGGCTGGTTTGTACATGCAGTTGGCGTTATTTTGCATGCGAAGAGATGCTCAGAACTGCAAGTAACTAATTTGCAAGTCGCTCTTAGCAGTGTGATAGCTGTGCATGTAAATTAAGTGTTCAGTGACATATATATTTTCTCATGAGTAGCTGAACACATGGGGATAAGTCAGTCGTGCAGGTGTTTATCTTTGTTAACAGAGTAGTTTCTGAAGGTTCAGTATTCATATTTATCATGCAGAATTCTTTCTACTCATTGTTTACCTTAGATACGTTACTTTTCCAATTTGGTTTTGATCCTTTTTGTTAGCATCTGCTGACCAATATCACACTGTAAATCTTACAGCTTTCAGTTTGCTTTCCTAACTCTATTATTCTCTGCTGCTATTTCCCATTAAATTAATACTGACTTGAAAGCAAAATTACGATGTAGGAGATTGCGGTATGATATTACAGAAATTTCCATCATCAAATAGATTTTCTTAATGGCACAATTTAAAATTTACCTACTTTGAAGTCTATCACCATTTGAAAAGTGTGTATAATTAGTACATTTATATAATTAGGCACAAGTCTGTAAGTGATCACATGTAGAGTTTGTTTTTGCACTGAAGTAGGGGGAAGGAAGGGACTGTGTTGCCAACTAAGGAAACACAGCAAATATGTACTGAAATTCCTAGAGGATATGTGGTTTCTATGTATTATTAACAACAATATCTACAATATTATTTACTGTGGTATTTCAGTAGCAGTAGAATGGTTGTATGGGAAACACACTGAGCAAACAATATGCTCAGGAATCCTTTTTCATATTAAATGTTTTGCATTACATTATTTTAATGTAAATGTAATACAGCCACTTTCTTTATTATTGCAGTAGTTTAAAATAAATACCAAGCTTTTCTGGCAGTGACGCATGCATATCTATGCACCTGATAATGACAGATAAAAACACGTAGGGATGGCATAACACTTCATTTTTCTATGATAAGCAGTGGTACGTACACCAAACAGGGGAAGGACTAACAAATATTAGAAGTACAGTAATTGCAGCATGTATGAGCGACTCCAGAGTTTTTTTTGGCACAGCAAATGAATAGAAACAAAATGTAGTTTATTTGTTTGTTCACTGAATAATTGAGCATGTACTCTTGGATGTCTTTTTGAGCTGAGGACCTGGAAGAGAGCTAAGAATGTCCTCCAAACAGGGAACGATGTGTTTACTAGATGAGTTTTTTGCATAAAGACAGGTAGGGTTGTTAACTTAAAGGAGGTGGTTTTCTTTGCTGAGGACAGGAACCATCCAGTCCCAAGGTTTATATCATGAATTCCTGTCTCCAAGACAGGCTACCCTGAAGCACTAGCTCCTCCTCAGAAGTCAGATGGCCGTGTTCAGGTCTGTCTACATTTAGCAAGCAGTTTGGGCTGAAAGGAGCAGATCTGCAGAGGAAACCAGCCTGTACTGAGGACTCAGAACATGCTGTGTGCGGTTCAAGAGCGTTTGCTCTTCAGTAGCTGTAGTTTGGTCCTCTGAACCACATGCCACTAGCAGGTGGAAGTCAATGGTGCATGTCTGGTTTAGCTCCATCAAAAGGAATTGGGTTCATCCATCCCAAGGCCACTCTTTGAGGTGAACCAAAGCATGGTAGGTGACAACGATCGGGAGTTTTATTATAAAAGCACAATTTTGCTCCAAGCTGAGACACTAATGCAGCTTACACCTTTAGGGCAGTGCTACGCTTGAGTGGAGAAATACTGTAGTTAAGTGCACTGCATCCCTAGCTCCTACCAGCCTACGAGTGAGAATCATAATGTGCATTGAGCCCAAGTATCCTGCAGGGTTACATCTATTTTAAGTTGTGAAACTTGTTGCTGATTCATGCAGCTGTTTTAACAGCTGAGAAATGGCGATAGAGCAATGAATATGCATTGAGCCATGCGTCTTTAGCTGTTGATGAAGCTGAATGCATAAAGTCAGAGTTGGCTAGTGGTAATATATATTATAATACAATAGTGCTGCTGGTAAATTGTAACACAATGTAAGTGTAATCAGAAAAACAGAAAATGAGGGCCAGGGCTTGGTGAAAGTACTGTGAATGAGCTGTTCCATCAGTTTTGCCTGAAGCTGAAGTTTTTTAATACAGTTGAACTTGAGGTTACTCAATTTTCAAGACAGTTGCTAGGCTGGATTTGGTTTTCAAATGAATTATCTAGGCAATAATCCAAATAGTGAAATCAGGGTGGGAAGACGTTTATGTTTATTTTTTTTCTGAATCAGAGGCCTGCATTTGTTTTGTCAAGCACTAGCACTGGGTTTTTAGGCTCCAAGAATACACTGAGTCCCTTCTTCCCCATGTTTGGTTTATATTAAAGTAGCATCCCCAAAATGCCAACATCCCTGCATCCTCATGTAGGGCAGCACTGACAACAAACATTGTGGAGGGAAAGCAAAATGCAGGTCTATTATTTTGTTACAAAAACAAGTATTTGTCAGGAGAAGTTGCCACAAAGCAACTAAAGGGCCTGTCTGTGAATAATTCTGAATGAATTGAGTCTTGAGCTCTTGACAGAGGTGTTGAGTGGTGTGAGCAGGTAATAAGCTCCTGATTTGTTACAGTCAAGAGAAGTTGGTGGGGAGAGTTGCTGTCATTTGCTCCTATAGTTGTAATCTGGAGAGAGTAATAAGGGCTCGAAGAGACGGGAGCATAGAAACGTTGAGGTTTTATGAAGATGTTGAAAATGTGGCTTCTACTGAAGTCGAGAGAACTGGAATGGAGTGTTTTTTTACTGAACATATAGAAAATATAGATGAAGCACAGAAGTAACTTGTTTTTTTGCTTAGAAATGGACGGAGCCTTGCAAGAATTAACATAATACTTTTTTTTTTTTTTTTTTTTTTTTTTTTTTTTATGACTTGGACTGTGAGGCTGTAATCTTGGAAAGTTTCTCTGCAGGAGTAGATTGTGATGGTGCTAGAAATCCTCTCTGAAATCGAAACCAGCTGGTCAACAGATTGAGAAAACAAATCGAATAAAACAATAACTGCATCAAAGCCAGAATTACAAATTAAAAAAAAAAAAAGAAAGCAGCAATGCTAATTGCTTGCTTTGGGGCCTGCAAATATGTTTAAGAAGTTCAAAAAGTATTGTAAGTAGAGGTGAAGAGATTAAATTTAAAAATTAAAGTTTAGTACAAATGTTAAAAATACAGGCAATTGAAACTAACCCACTGTTCAAGCTGTTAGTCTGGAGAAAGTCTCTTTGTGGAAATGTCAGGACCTATAAAACTGTAGGTGGGTAGACTTTCTGGAGATCTTGAAGGTATATGATGCTCAGAGGAGAGAATGTATCACGCTGCAGTCGTAGCAAATATGTTTCTGTGAAGGTCTGAAAAAGATGCTCAGTTAAATGACTGAACTGTCTTTGAATTGGTCAGATCCTAATTTTTCTTTTCATTTTGTCAAACAGCATTTTCTGTTAATATAACAAAAGTCTCAGTTTGAAGAACGTGAATTTGACCAAACATCTAAAATTTCTTTTGCATCAAGCAACTAAAGGATTCATAAGCTGGACTAAATTCCCTATTGTTCTAATTCCACGAGAGCTAGTATATTTGTACAATTAGTTAGTTTTACACAAGTGCTTTATTGCATATTTACTCACATGCAGCTGAGAAGGGAATCCTTCAACCAGTAACTTCAAATGTACTGTTTGATTTCACAGATGTAGGTATTGGAGCATCTGAACGTGAAGCACCATTGTTTTTTCTCTTTTTGTGCTTCTGTTTTTTTGTTCTGCATGAGTTTTAAAGTGATGGGATCGTTCTTGAGAGGGTGCGTTCTTCATTTTGTTTTGTTATTTTTTTAACTTTTAAGGCCCTGAACAGTTACATGATAAAACATGGATGACCATGGAGAGACTGGAGATGA